GTTGCTACTATGACCGGTTGATTACTAGTATCCACAAAAGCCAATTGCTATGTCTGAGAAGAAACAGCTCTGCATTCAAAGATTTTAATGATCAAGCTAAGACAGTGAAAAAAAAAAAGATTTTAAATAAAAAAAATACTAGATGATATTTTAGAAAAAACTAAAAAAAGAAGATGGAAAACAACTTCCTAACTATAAGACTACAAATAAATATAATATTCCTACCCTTCCCATGATTTTTTATTTTAATAGAACAATTAATTGTATTTTTTTTCTTTTTTCTTTTTTTAGTTTCGTTAGATATTGGGACTACTTTACGCCATTATCAAATAGCATTATCAAAGTCCCATATCATCATATGCTTAAAACATTCCAAGAGAGAAGGGGAAGAGTAGAGAAGAAAGAAAGAAAGAAAGAAAGAAAGAAAGAAAGAAAGAAAGAAAAGAAAAAAAGGGGGGGTTTCTGCCAATACTTCTAACCTTAGTGGTCTATTAACTCATCCTCAGTATGTCTTAACATACTCTTGCTATGATGTTTCTGCCCGATACGCTCGCCAGAGTTCCCATATCCTATCATAATGATCTCTCATCCCCTGAATGGCCCAATGGACTTCTTCAAGTTCTCTCAAAGCTTCCACTCTAAAAATCCATTGTTCTTTAGTCGGAATACTAGATTTAAGCCAATACAACGGGATCAAAGCATTTGCCTCATTCAGTAAGAAACTCAGCACTATCTGTTTGTTATTCTCCTTAAAGGAAGCTGGCCATCCCGATAGAATCTTGGATGGAGATAATTGATCAGGCATTGGTAGAATTTTATAAATGACACTCAGTACCTGTAACCAGTAGCTCCTAATAAGTTTGCACTCCCACCATATATGTTCCATATTCGCCCCCCTCTCGCCACATCTCCAACAGCCATCCGAAGCCGGTGCACCGTATTTTTTAAGTCGATCTGGAGTATTGTACCATCTAGTGACTCTTTTAAAAAATATAATTTTCCTAGGAGTGCTCACCTGGGCTTTCATTCCCATTTTGAACACAAATGACCAATCATTGCTGGTCATTTGGATGTTCAAACCTTTCATCCACTTCAATTGGAATGAAGGGACAGTCTTCTCCATAGCTTCCTTATGAATTTAACTATATATACTGGACAGGTAACGTTTTTTCTCTATTCCAGGACCGCAGAGTGACTCAAACTCTGTTCTCTCTCTCGTCTGCCAATATGGTAACACTTTTTGTTTATGAAAAACTTTAAGTACATAATACCCATTCTATCTATAAGAGCTGTCATATTGTCCCATGAAGGGAACTCTCTTAATCTATTGGGTGTTTCATCTGTTATTAAACTTGAAACTGAAGGGTCTGCATCTCCTGTTAACTTTTCAAACAGTTTATGACCCGACCCAAACTGAAAATCCACATTAGATGCTATTGAAAAGAATACAGAGATGCTATTGAAAAGAATACAGATAGTCCCTGGGATAGTCCCCATCTATCTTTAAGCCTTCTCCAAATCTGTATGGTGTGGTTTATAATTGGGTGTTTAGAGGGTGATAGTAACTTTAATTTACAATTCTGCCAAGGCAGTGTCTCCAACTTAACCTTAATAAAATCCTGTTCTATCTTATACCAAGGCTTCCCCTTATCTATAGCCGTCCATTCTCTAATTCGCGCACATAATACCGTAACATAGTATCTATAGATATGTGGGAGGCCCAAGCCATCTCTCTCAACAGGTAGTGTCAATATATTATACGCAATACGTGGAGTTTTATGATTCCATATAAATGAAAGGAATGTAGATCGCAGTTTTCTAAAGAAGTCTTTCGGCAGTGAGACCAGCAATGTCTGAAATAGGTATAATATCTTAGGTAAAATCATCATTTTTATAATATTTACTCTCCCGATCAATGAGAAAGAGGCCTGATTCCATTTTTTTAGATCTTCTTCAATCTTTCTCAATAATTTTCCATAAATAAATCTTTTAACTGTATCGTCAGTTGTGTCCCTAGGTATGTTATACTAGTGTCTGTCCACTTATATTTATATAGCTTTTGTAGTTCCTCTTTAATTCCTGTATTTATCCCCACTCCCAGTATTTAAGACTTATCTGAATTTACTTTAAAATTAGATAGGCCACCGAATTTCTCCAATTCCTCATGGACATAAGGAAATGAATATCGGGGTTCTATAAGCGTAAATAACACGTCATCGGCAAAAGCAGTTACTTTGACCTCTCCTCCCGTATACTTATATCCTTTAATGTCCCTATTCTTTCGTATGGCTTCTAAAAAAGGTTCAAATGCTAAAACAAAAAGAAGAGGGGACAATGTCCTGACGGGTGCCGTTGCTAATAAAAAAAGGGTTGGAAAGTTGACCATTAACACGGACGTTAGCAGAAGGGCCTCTATACAATGTCTGTACCCAATTGCAGAATCTTTGGCCAAGCCCCCATGCCTCTAGTGTTGCAAACAGATAGGACCGATCCACCCTGTCAAAGGCCTTCTCAGCATCTATAGTTAATAGAGCTGTAGGACTTTTATTTATTATAGCTCCATGTATTACATTCAAGATTTTAGTAGTGTTATCTCTGGCTTCGCGGCCAGAGACAAAGCCTGATTGATCAGGGTGGATCAGTCAAGGCATAAGGGGCTTAAGCCTGTTTGCCAAGAGTTTTGCAAATATTTTTAAGTCAACATTAATAAGAGAAATTGGTCTATAACTACTACATATTTCTGGATCTTTCCCTGCTTTATGTATTACAGCAATTACTGCTCTCAACATTGATGGCGGAATGTCCATAGTTGGAGATAGACCATTAAAAGTTCTAAGAAAATGTGGCTCAAGAATATTATGGAATTGTTTATAATAACGTGCCGAGAGACCATCTGGCCCAGGGCTTTTATTAAGAGGCATTGCCTTTATCACTGCCGAAAGCTCCGGAAGGGAAAACAATTCCTCCAATTGGGCTGATGTTTCTTTAGAAATTTTTTATGGAATATTTTTAGATAGATATTGTTCTCTTTCATATGGAGTCTTCTCAGGGAGCTTTAAATTATAAAGGTCTTTGTAATAATTCCTGAAAGTGTTTCCTATTTCCTCAGTAGTATTACAAATTGTCCCTTGTTTATCTTTAATGTTTTTTGTAACTTTACTTTTAAGGCTTTAGCTAACAATTTCCCACTTTTATCCCCATGTGTGTAGATTGTACTTTGTGTCAACTGGACCACTCTTTGGGCCTCATAAGTCAATAATGACCTCAACTTAGATCTAATTGCCAAGAAACATTTAACATTTTCTTCGGTTGGAGTTTGCTTATGCATAGACTCCAGTGTATCCAATTTTTTTACGAGCCTTTGTATTTCTTCGGCTCTTTCCTTTTTACATCTGGCACCCCATTTAATTAAGACTCCTCGGATCACACTCTTATGCGCTTCCCATATCCATGATTCATTAATATCGTCTGAACAATTATCTAAAAAATATTGAGAAAGCGTATCTGATAAGTCCTTGGTGACCCTTGGGTCATCAAGAAGAGGCTCATTTAATCTCCATATGTTATTACCCTTCCCATCGCCTTGCAGTTCAATATCCAGGAAAATGGGGGCGTGGTCAGACCACGTAATATTTCCTATTTTTGCTCCCTTTACCAAATGTAGATATCTATGGTTTACAAAAAAACATGTCTATCCTAGAATAGCTATCTGCAGCTGATGAATAAAAAGTGTAATCCCTTTCCCACTGATGGAAAATACGCCAGCAATCAATCAATTGGTAGGAGTGAAAAATCTTTAGGACTAACGACCTCTCACTCTTTTGTGTTTCTCTCGTATTTGAAGAACTATCCACTGTATAATCTAACACCATATTACAATCCCCACCAATTATCAAAACACCTTCCTTGAAATCTTCCAGTTTCCTTAAACATGTTTTCAAGAAAGATGCTTGGCTAGCATTTGGCACATATATATTTGCAAGCATGATCATATGGTCATTGAGCTTCCCTTTTAAGAAGATATATCTGCCTCCTCGATCCAATTTACTATCTGATTGGGCAGAGTTCAAATCAGAGTTTAGGAGAATTGCCACTCCTCTAGACTTGCCTTTCATAAAGTTGCTGTAGAAAGTCTGGTTAAATTTATTCGTATTAAGTCTAGGCTGAAAAGTGTTTTTATAGTGAGTTTCTTGAATAAATACAATATCTTTTTTTTGCCTTCCTAACTCCTGTACCAAGATAGAGCGTTTCCTTGGGGAATTCAGCCCATTAACATTCAAAGACATACAACTAATCTGTACCATAGAAACAGTAGAAAAATTCAATTTCTATGTCTACTGAATTCAAGCCAATTACCACTTCTCCCATATTTATGCAGAAAAAGAAAAAGAAAAAGAAGAAAAAAAAATAACTGAATATGTAATCTTAATATAAGTGCTATATCCAAAATAGGATAAGATGTAACCCCTGTGGGAGACGCATTTGTGTCCACAAGACATATCAGCATCTTCCTAAGGAGGGGAAGAGAGAGGGAGGGAAAGGTAGATGGGAACGGAGTTATAAGCTAATTTATCAGGAGACCTCCATAAGTATTCTAAATTGTTCTAAATTGCCCTAATATGTCATCTCGTGCTAGCATGCTTCACAGGGCCTTCTAATGTTGTTAAGGCAATCATTCCCCAATGGTCTAAGCAGTTTTTTTATTTTTTGTTTTGCTTTGCCATTGGGGTTTTTGTATCTCTTGTAGTGGAGGAATACCTGAAAGACCTGTCCAGTCTTCGATCTCAATATGAGGGAGCCCCAGAGCTTGTACAAAATCTGGTATATCTGCTGGTGTCTTTATCATATATGTTTTAGAGTGTTGAAAAACCATAAAAGCAAAGTGATAGTTCCACCGATATTTTATTTGTTTCTGTCCTAGTAAAAGAGTGATTGGTCTTAAAGCCTTACGTGCCATTAAGGTTGAAGGAGAAAGATCTTGGAAAATTTCAATAGAATAATCATCTAATTTCCTTCATAAGTTGGGCTTTCTGTACTATCTCTTCTTTTAATAAAAAGTTGTGGATGCAGCAGATTAAATCTCGAGGATTTTCTTGTGGTGGATTTCTTGGTCTTCCTACTCTATGTGCTCTATCAAGCTTAATCTTAGAGTCCGAAGATCTTCCTAAAATCTGATTGAAGATACGAATAAGAATCTTTGTAGGGTCTTCTCTTTCATCCTGCATGGTTTCAGGAACCCCTCTTATCCGTAGATTATTTTGTCTTCCCCGATTATCGATATTGTCTAGTTTCCTTTGTAAGGACAAAATAGCTTCTGTCTGCGATCTTTGGAATTTCCAACATTCAGTCCACCGGTTTTCATTTATTTCTTGATTATCTTCCAATGCACAGACCCTATCTCCTAAATGATGTATTTCTGAGGTAACAGCTTTTAATTTTTCACTGAAACTATCTTCCATTTTTTTAAACATATCCATCATATCCGCTTTAGAGGGTAGTTGTGCTGGCGTATTTTCCATCAGTGGGAAAGGGATTACACTTTTTATTCATCAGCTGCAGATAGCTATTCTAGGATAGACATGTTTTTTTGTAAACCATAGATATCTACATTTGGTAAAGGGAGCAAAAATAGGAAATATTACGTGGTCTGACCACGCCCCCATTTTCCTGGATATGTAAACACTCAGCAACCAATCAGTATATATTCAGTATAAGGGCTGATTATTGTATCTATGTGTCCATTTTAGTGCTTTGGCACTTTTGTTCTTGATAAGTAGTTGTGCCAGGATTGTGCTAAGATCTGAACCTTCTATTGAACCCTCTGACATTGTAGGGCTTACTGGAAAACTCAAAGGTTCATAAACTGGAGATGCCCCTTTATCGATATGGTCATGTTCCTGGCCTATTAGATCTGTACATAATCTTTGTGGCGATGAATTTGGTTTGGCAGATTTAAGTCCTACAGCAGTTGTCGCTATCTGACGGGTTTTTTTGGGTCCCATTATTTCTCGAATAAGTCTAGGTTTACAGCCTTCCCCCGACCTTTACACTACCAAAGTAATAGAAATTATCATGTCAGAAATTATTAGTCGCTAATCGAAAGCATTAAGCGGCAGTTAATAATAATCGCTGCTGCAAGGATTACCCAGAGAAGTCTGCAAAATAAGCAAAACTATATACCTCAAAAAAAAAAAAAAGGGAAAGAAGCAAAGAGTCACTGTATATCCACTTTTCTTTCCCCTTCAAAGAAAACCCTTCCTTCCTTTAATCGTTGGTATAGAGGCCATTAGAAGCAGATAGCAAATATTATGCAATTCAGCTATCAGCTACAATTATCCAAGGCACTTTTGTAGCAATATTGACACCAATATCAAAAGTTCTTGTTATAATATTAACTCTGGCGCTCTGATTTTAACTCTGATTTTTAACTCTTATATCGAATCACTCCAATATCTCCTGTAAACACTCTAATATCTCAGTTCTCAGCTTGTCGTTGAATATGCAGTGTTACAATATATTATATATTATGCAGTGCTACAATATATTCATATTTCAGTATTCAGTATTTCAGTATTCATTATTCAGTGTTTCAATTTCAGTAGTACCACTAGTCAATGTATCTAATGTAACAATCAAGAACAAAAGTGCCAAAGCACTAAAATGGACACATAGATACAATAATCAGCCCTTATACTGAATATATACTGATTGGTTGCTGAGTGTTTACTACTTGCGTGAGCTGGAGGCTAATATTCCCCAAGCAGGGGAAAAAAAACCTTGTGTCTCGTAGTTTTAATGCTGGACAGGTGCCTGGCGTTTGTCAATATCCTTGCCGATATTCGTGCCTGAAATCTAAATAGATCTCAGGTAACTCACCGGTCTTTTAAGCAGCAGGTGGTCACAGCTACATTAAATCAGATCAGCATCGCTGATCAGCGCATTTCCTCGTCAACACCGGCCGGCTCCGAGCCTTTCCCGCCACCTCTCAATCCACAGACCTCGACCCCCCCTCAGACCTGGGGCACACACGTAACGTCATCCCACGTCAATTAAGAACAATTAATTGTAAATAAAATTATGAAGAAACATTGGGGCATTTTGAAATAAGATGACATACTCAAAAATATCATTCTAGACAAGCCTAAATGTAATAAAACCTCCACAACTACCAATAAAACATACATCACCTATACAACCAAAACCAATATTTATCTGCTGGAGTGCCCATGTGAGCTCCAAGTACGTAGGGATGGCCTACGTACTTGTTTAAAAACCCCTATTGCCAAACATTATCATAACATTATCAAGGGCTTCCAAAACCACTCTACAATCACTTTAATATACACAACATCTTGATCTTAGTGTTTTAAAATTCATCAAAAATTCAAGATGTAAAAAAACCTTGGAAAAGCGGTGTTATGAAAAACCTATTGGGTAAAGTTGAAATGATTTGGGTTTTTAATCTTAAAACATGGGAACCAAATGGTCTGAATGATGAAGTTGATTTTTTTTTTATAACCTTCCCTCCACTACGCTCCATTTTTTTATAGATTTTCCTACTGATATAATTACATACTACACTTTATCTTAAGCTATTTTAAGACTACATTTTCAAAAAGTTTTAATGAAATATTTTTTCTTTTTATCTATTTATATTTTTTCATACATATTTCTCATTTATTCATATTTGTTTAGTACCAACATATTTTATCAATGAGGTCCAATTTTTAATTAATTTAAATTTTTACTCTCTATTTTTTCTTTTAGCCAGCTGCTGATAGTTCTGTAATTGGCACTTAAACCCTTAGTGACCAGACCTTTTTTCAATGTTCTTACCGTTAAGGACCAGGGCTCTTTTTACATTTCTGCTGTGTTTGTGTTTAGCTGTAATTTTCCTCTTACTCATTTACTGTACCCACACATATCATAGAACGTTTTTCTCACCATTAAATGGTCTTTTTAAATATACCATTATTTTCATCATATCATATAATTTACTATAAATTTGTTTTATAAAATATGATGAACAAGTTACAAAAAACACACCTGTTCCAAATATGACCCCCAAAATCTTTTACTCATCTACAACTGCCAAAAAACTCCCATGCTACATAGTTTCTAAATTTTGTCCTGAGTTTAGAAATACCCAATGTTAACGTGTTTTTAGCTTTTTTGCAAGTTATAGGGCAATAAGTACAAGTAGCACTTTGCTATTTCCAAACCATTTAAAAAAAAAAAAAATTAACTAAAGTTATATTGAAAAACTGATATCTGTCAGGAATCCCTGAATAACCCTTCACGTGTATATATTTTTTAAAAGAAGAAAACCTAAGGCATTAAACTTAGGGTATTTTGACTCTTTTAATGTAACCATTTTACCACCAATCTATGCCAAATAAAAAAAAAAAATGATTACTGATTATTTTTTTACACATGGCAATTTAAGAATACATGTACTGATAACTTTAAGGGTTAATGCCAAAGAACTCCCCAATATGTGTTCAGCAACATCTACTGAGTAGAGTGATACCACCCATGTATAGGTGTGTCGGGTTCTCTGGGGGCTAAAGGACCTTATTTGGAGGGTGCGCATTCCAGTTTTCCAAATTGGAGTTTTCACAGCTGTTCATCATGCACCCATGTCCTATTTGGGACATTTTTGAAGCCGGCCAAAGTAATTTACCCCCATCAAACCATATATATATAAGAAAAGTAGTCACCCTAGGGTAATTCAAATTGTAGTATTTTAACACTTTCCATGCACTAGTTCTACCACCATTCTTTGTCAAACTTTTTGGTAGATATTTTTTTGTGTTATTTTTCTCTCACATTGTACTTTAGGCATGGATTCTCAGTTCCTGTTATGTGTTACTGACTAGAACACCCCAATATGTGTTCAGCAACATCTCTTGAGTACAACAGTACCCCCAATGTACGGGTTTATGGGTTTTTACAAACGTACAAATGTAGGGCTTTACCGTTTTCCATGTTTGCACATTGAAATTGGTTTGCTGGGCCTAGGTTGCCTTTAAGAACGTATGGCAGCCCAGGAATGAAAATTAATCCCATCATGGTATACCATTTGTAAAAATAGACAACAAACTGGGGTGCGTCCAGTCTTTTTTAGTAGCCACTTAGTCACAAACCCTGGCCAAAATTAGCATTTATATATTTTTTTTTTTGCATTTTTCACACATAAATTGCTATTTCACTAATGATATTATCAATATAATAAATTTTACTGCTCTAAAACACTCATATTTGTATAGAGTAATGTGTCACGAGTACAACAGTATCCCTCAAGAACATGTTTTATGGTGATTTGGAAAGTTACAGGGTCAAAGATAAGATTTGCCAATTTCTGTTTTTGTAAATTGCTATTTGCCAGATTGGCTATGTTGCCTTTGAGACAGTATGGTAGCCCAGAAATTAAAATTAACCCCACCATCGCATACCATTTGAAAAAGTAGACAACCCAGGATATTCAAAATGGGGTATGTCCAGTCTTTTGTAGTAGCCACTTAGCCACAAATGCTTGCCAAGGTTAGCGTTCATATTTGTTTTTTGCATTTTTTTTTACACAAAAACTGCACTTTTACTGGTGATTTCATTGTCGCGATACGTTTTACTGTTTTAAACACTCATATTTCTGTTCAGCGAAGTCTCCCGAGTATAACAATACCCCCCCATGTCCCGGTTTTATTGTGTTTTGGAAAGTTACAGGGTCAACATAGGGCTTGCCCAATTCAATTTGCCAGATTGGTTTGCTGGGTCTATGTTGCCTTTTCAGACCATATGGTAGCCCAGGAATGTGAATTAACCTCATCATGGCATACCATTTTCAAATGTAGACAATCCAGGGTATTCAAAATGGGGAATGTCCAGTCTTTTGTAGTAGCCACTTAGTCACAAACGCTGGCCAAAATAAGCATTTATATATTTTTTTTGCATTTTTTAAAATAAAAACTGCACTTTTACTGGTGTTATCATCGTTGTGATAAGTTTTACTTTTTAAAACACTCATATTTGTGTTCAGCGAAGTCTCCCGAGTATAACAATACACCCCATGTAAAGGTTTTATGGTGTTTTGGAACGTTATGGGGTTACACATAAAGCTTGCCAATTAAATTCTCTGGACTGGCTGCCTGGGTTGTCAGGCAGGTCCCTCAAATTATAATTAATAAAATCAGATAATTATGTAGTTAATAGTTAAATATATATGTAGAATGTTTTTGTATATACACTGCTCAAAAAAATAAAGGGAACACAAAAATAACACATCGATCTGAATTAATTCTTCTGAAATACTTAGTTCTTTACATAGTTGAATGTGCTGACAACAAAATCACACAAAAATTAAAAAATGGAAATCAAATTTTTCAACCCATGGAGGTCTGGATTTGGAGTCACACTCAAAATGAAAGTGGAAAAACACACTACGGGCTGATGTCCTTAACCTCTTAAGGACCAAACTTCTGGA